TTCTTGCCTTAAGTAACTTAAAACAAATATATTAACAGCAAATAATCTAATTACACAAGAGGTCTAATAGCTGATAAGTATAGAAATAGACGAAAAAGATTTGGACTTAGGTTTAACTTGTTAGCAGGAATTTATAATTATGAAATTGAAATTTAATTACGCAAGAGGTCTATTATATAGACGTAGTCCATTGATTGGTTTGGACCTCGTTCATACAATCAATTTAAGAAAAACACGGCGCTTGCTATATCATTGCTGCTTTGGGTCTGGAATCCATAAAATTAACGCCACAAATGTATTTGACAAAATTATGGATTCCCAGACCGAAGGAAAGATAAACATGATCTAGTATGAAAGAAACATAAAATAAGTTTTGTTTATTTAATTCCAAAAAATTCTTTGGTCTCTTGTTTTATAATATCAAATTCCCCTATATTAGGCGTTGCAGGTGTTGCTCCCTCAACAAAAGTCCCACCAAGCACCCCAATATCATTAGATCCTGTATTTGGCATATGTTTTGGGAAGATATAAAATGAACGCTTTACTGATTGTCCAGATTCAGTTGTACCAGTATCTAGATAAATTAAAACCATATATTGCAAATCTTGAGGCTTTTGATCTTTAAGCATAATCAAGTGACCCTGTACTGATACCCAGCTTATCATCATTATTCAGTTCTTTAGATCCAAGCCCAGTGCAGTTAAAGATAATTTTATCTTTAAGTTCTGTAAAAGAATTAATTTTTTTCTGAACAAATTTAACATTTTTGCTTTTTAAGTAACCAGTAAGTTCTTGCATAAGCTCACCTGTATCGATAAAGATCCCATCGTCATATGATATCATTTTCTGAGTTGTTCCATTACCAAAATCAAGCACGACTTCTTTGGCTGGTCGCATTACTTTAGCCTCTACATAAGGTTCTAATCCAGACTCTTCTCGAGTTCTAAAATAAGCCGGAACAGCTATAGCTCCCTTTTTAAAATGAGGATGTTTCTTTTTAGCTATTGAATCATAAAGTTTGTAAGCTTCAATTCCTATTTCATCAATAGTTTTTTGAATAGCTGGATCATTATCCATGGATACTGGAGCTAACAATCCGGCAGCATTATTGGAGGGTAACCCAGTAGTTTTTTCTGCAACAATTGTAATATTCTGGAAACCTTTTTGATGCAAAGTATAAGCAGTAAATAACCCTATAACTCCAGCTCCAACAATAGTCACAGGGGTAGTTTTCGGTAGATCCTTTGCATAGCTAGAAGTGTTCAGTAAATTATAAACATATTCAGAGGATCCAGGAGCAAGAGTCCACCCACTACCCCCATGTCCATAGTTATTTGCAATTATTTTACCATCTTGTTGTTCTATACTCATATTTGGAGCCCCTTCTCTCATAGGACGATAACAAATGATTTTTTGCCCTAAATGAGCATCATCAATTTTTGGTGGAGTTATCTTTCGAATTTCACTATCTGCTAGTGTTATAAATGGTATTATAATAGACAAAATACCTATACTGCATATTGATTTAACATTTTTAAACATATCAAAATACCTGTTATTAATTAAATAAAAGTGTCATATTAATTTAATGAATATAAATGAAATTGTAAAGCTTTTTATTAAAAAGTGTTAATAACATTTTCAAGTGAATATTCTTGTCTTCCCAACAATTATTATGTATTCTGCTTTCTTAAACAAAAATAAACGAATTTCGCGATAGATTCATTAAACCAATAAAAAAATAATATGAAAATTTCGGCAAATGCT